AGACAGATTTCCATACCAAATTGAGTGTGTATGTTATTTCCTCCTTAAGCCAAATCCAAGGAGAGTAAGATTCATTCAATCCCTCTCATGAATGTATTATTTTTTTACAATAATGGTTAAGCCCAGGTTTGCAGGGTATGATATCTTGGGTTTCATCTTGAGCGGTTTTGCTCTTTATAACACATTATTCCATTTCCTTCTGCCATTCTTGGTGAATGCAGAACCGTCTTTTGCTATTTGGATTTCTTTTTCTTTATTTTTCAATTGCTTTCTCAGATCAATTGCAGAATTTTTTTTTTTTGGTCAGTAAAATTGTTAGATTTAACCACTAGTTTCCTGTGAGTTTATAGTATAGGATTATTTTTTTTTCTGGAGATGAGCTTTAGATTTTTTAAAAATTTATCTTATATTCTGAAGTTCTGGATGATTTTTCTGTATTGTTTGTTGAAATCTGATGTTCAGCTTTTTTGATTTATGTTTTTTCTGGGAGAATAATAATCCTAATCTTGTCTCTATGCATCTTTTCTTTGAGGTCAATATGTTTTACTTGTATGGAAATCATCCTTCTAAAATATATAGTATTTTTTACTTCTCTTCTTCTAGATTTTCCTTCACTTCTGCTTTTTTTTACATCCCCAATCAATAATTTTCTGTTTTGTTTTCTTGGTGAGACTTTCCAGCTTGGAAAGAAAATATTTTCTGTTCTGCCATTTGTTACTGCTGTGGAGGCCATAAATTCTGCTTTCACAATATTTAATTCTTTTTTAAATGATTCAGAAACATCTTGCTGTGGTTCCACATTCTCCTGGAAACCTATAGGTTCCTCTGCCTTTTCAGGTGTTGGTTGATTCCTTTATCTTGCAATATTTATTCATAGATGTCTGAACTTTTACTTGATCTGGAATCCATGTTCTCCACTGTTATTAATATCATCCTTGTTCATCTACTTGTGCCAAAGGTCTTTAAATTTTCTTTCTCCTGACAACTTTGGTAATTTTTTTAATTGTTCATTTTCTCACTTGTACCTCTTTGTTTGGGATTTCCCTGGGGGCTGTGCTTGAAAGCCTTTTCTAGTATTTTTCCATACTGGGCAAATCATGTTTCACTGGCCTAAGTGACTTGTGGGCAGGGGATAGATTTGGCTCCATAGGTATTCTGGCCTCCTATTAAGCTTAGTGGAATGCTGCACAACTGCATATATGTGCCCTTCCCAGTTCTCTCTCTTCCTCAATTTTCTGATTGAGTTCTGTTGCAGCACAGAACAATGACACTCTGTTGTTCCAGGCAGGACAAAGTTCTTTCTCTCTGTTGGTTTTCAATGGCACTGGGAGGAGGCAGGCAGGTAGGACTGAATTCTATTGCAGGTCTAGTTCAGCTTGTGTAGCACTATTTGAGTAAGGTTGGTGCTGAGTGAGCATATTAGGGGTTAGGGATTAGTCTTCTTTGCTGGTAGTTCATCAGATTATTACCTTATAAAAATTCTTAGTGCCCTAAACCATGGAGAAAGCTGAAATTGCTTTATATCTTGTGCATAATTTCTATTTTGGAGAGATTAGAGAGACCACGAGTATCAGAAAAAAGTCTTGTCTTCTATCTTGTTGGTCACATGACCTGGAAGTTCCACACTGCAAAATTTACATTTGCCCAAAGCTGTCTGATTTAGGGCAGAGAATGATCACTGCTCTCCTGGTCTGAACTTTCCCAGCTCCTGACCATAATTTCAATCTGAGTAATCCAACTGTAGGCTTTCCCCTTGCTGGAACCTCAGTACTCCGCTGTTGGTCCAGACTCTGTCACCTAGACAGAAGGCTCTTCAAATTCAGAGCAATAGAATAGTAGGTGTCCCTACCCCTTGAACTCCCTACCCTACTTCCTCCCTTTCCCCACTCCCTTTCCTACTCACTTAGCTACAGACCTCAGACTGTCCTGAAGACTGAATCTAGGACCTCATTCCAGGGTCAAAGGCATTCAACTGCTGCTCTTCTTTTCCTGCTCCTTGCCCAGTACATAGCCTAGGACCTAGGATGTCTCTTGCTAGGATGTAACCACAAATTGGCCACCTCTATGTTCATTTCCAGTCAGAGTTAAGACTTAAATCCAAGTCTTCTTGACTCATAAGTTTGATCTCTAGTCATTATTCCATACTGTCATAATAAAGCAAAATGCAATTTAATCTGTCTGATTTAGTCTGAATGATTTTGTAACATCACCACAGTTTATTAATGATGCCTTACATTATTTAAAAAGTATATTGTCCATAATATATTTGGTAAAGTAATTAGGTGTTATGAAACATCATCCTCATTCATCTTATTCTTGAGTCAATTTTTTATAACAATTACTAGATATATAAAGTTAATACATGCAGATGTTTCATATTGTTTTGTGTTAATCACCTCAGAAGCAGTATTTTTTGTATCAAAGAGCTATACTGGAAGAACCCATATTCTAGGAATATCATGCTCACAAAAATATGCTCTATGTTTTTAAAAGCAGACTACCATTGACTAGTAAGAGGAGAAATAATAAAGGAGGAAGAGGAGTTGTAGAAATTTGCACAAAAATATTAAAATGGGAGAACTCAAACAAAAGTTTAATACATATTAAGTAAACTTTTTATTCAAAGAAGCTATGTACTCAACCATTGAAAAGAATAAAAAGGCAAAATTTTTGAATCTATACATGACAAATTATTATAATTACAGAAAATGAAATTTAGGAAGATGAGTGCATGTTTTGTTTTCTTCTTTTCTCAAACTATTTAATGGGGAAAATTAGTTTTCTGGAGCCAGTAGTTCAATAATGGCATTCTGGAAATTTAAAGAAAATGGTTAGTAAAAGAGAGATAGAAATCAAGGATAATAAATTGTGAGTGCAGGTGGCATATAATTCCCATTTAAATCTTTTAAGTAGTTTGCTTTTTTGAAGACTATAATTATTCTTACATGCAATAAAGCAAAATTTTAGAGCAAAATTTTCTCTTGGTGGTTCACCTTCATTGACCAGTTGTCTGGTGACATACATTTTACAGGTGGAATTTGGTCATAGATGAATTATCTAAAGAATTTCTGGAGTGCAGTTATGATAATGTCATTTAATTATAGTCATGGTCCCTCCCTCTACCCAAAAAAAAAGTTTTTTTAAAAAGTAAATAGCCTCTTGTATACTATTTCTGAATTAAAAAAAAAAAAGATGGACAGTAACTTTAAATAGACATGTCCCAATATTTGTCAAAGAAGAAAAATTGACTGAAGGAAAAATTAACCTGGCAGGCTTGAAGACAATAGACATAGTTTCATTATTTCAGATCTAAAACTGTATCTATGCTTTGCTAAGTTACTAGAGAAATATCTTTATAATACAGGTAGTAGTTATACTTATCTAAGTCAATAATAATGATAATAATAATTATTATAATATTGGCTAGTATTTATTAAGTGCTTACTATGTTCCAGGTACTGTGCTAAGTGCTTTACAAATGTCTCATTTAATCCTCACAACAACCCTGGAAGGTATGTGCTATTATTATCCCTATTTTATAGGTCAGGAAAATGAGGCAGACACAGGTTAAGTGTTTTGCTTAAGGTCACAGAGCTAATAAGCATCTGAGGCTAAATTTGAGCTTGGATCTTTCTTTTTCTAGATTAGAAATCTCCAGTGTTCTATCCAAAGCACAGGATAAAACAAGAGAGTACAATATAATGTGTAGTTGGATGGACTAGTCCACCTACATATCTATCTTGCACAGACACTTCAAATGTATAATATACTGGTCCCAGAATTGAACAAGAGGAGGAATCATGTACTGAAAGAAAGGGATATTTGATGGACAGCACACATACTTTGCTGGCGTGCATAACATGCCAAAGTATTTAAGTTAAGATCCACAGAATATTGGGTGGCATCCCTGTGGAGAATTTATGGAAGGATATGAACAATTCACAGAAGATGCAATGGATTGCAATCTGTGTTTATGGCAGGAGTACTCACATTAAGGAGGGCATGAAACCATGAAAGTATGGAAACTCCTTTCCTTACAAAAGAAGGTTGGGAGTGAATATAGCATACAACATATATGTGTGTGTGTATATATATATATGTATGTATGTATGTATGTATGTATGTCAGCTATCCTCTGGGAACCCAATATGCCTGAGGGAGTTGGAAAAATGAAGCTACAAAGCATGATACACACATATCCGGTGTAATTCAGGATAATTTATATCAGACAAAATCAAAACATTCCTCCCACTGCTATATAAGTCAAATGCCTGTAGGCAGAATTGGCCTCATTGGAAATAATGTTGGGTGATATGCTGATATTTATAAGTTATATTTGAAATATGGACTCATAAATTAAGACAAAAATTTAAGCTAACATACATAACATAGCTTAACCATATAAAAGGTTTCCTTCAAAGAATTCTCTTTGGGAAGTCATCCTAATACTCATTCCAATGATGTTGCCACTGATCAATAGATTTTTGGAACTTCCTTTGAGAGTTACGTGTAGAGATATCTTATGAGTCACACACAAAAAAAATTGGGTTCTTTGTCTTATAATGAGTCCTTACTATCTTACCTTAACTATGTGCCTTATTTTGGATTTTGTGAATTGTATTGCCCAGATAAATCATCCACTTTATACATGAGACTTGGTCAGAATGATTTTCAATTTTTCCAAAAATAAGATCAACCTTCAAAGGACAATGATTTGTAGCCATTGAGAATATTCAAAAAATTTAGCTACAGGCATATATTTACATAGGGTTAAAAAAGAACACCAGGATGAATGAATAAGAAAACAGGCAAACACTCTTAGTATAACTACAGACATTGGTATCAGTAGAGCACTGCTTTCATCCTTCACCAGCCCCAGCCTATCTACTCAAGTCATTTTGTCAAAACTCCGAAATTTTTAGGTTTGCTTGGTATGTATGTATACACACATATACATACATACATACACAGACACACACGTACATCCATACATATATTACCGTTTACAGGAAGAGGATGGAAGCACCAGGGTACTCCAGGGATCTTATTGTCAAAGCAGCACTCACGGGCTTTGCATGTCTTTGAGGAAATTCCTGGATACCCACAATTCACTCTTGCCTTTACTTCCATGATACACTCTTCAGAATCTTTGGAAATTTGATTAAAGGAATGAGAAAGAAACTTGATTAGATTAGGAATGTATTAGTTTTTATTCCATGCCTTACTGGGATCATTATAGGTTTGGGAAGTTGGAACAAATCATTATAGCTAAAAGTACTGTCCTTTGTTTCAGAATATCATGCAAATTGTAATTTGTCTCCAATATATTTTTGTCTTTCTTAAGGCTATTGTTACTATGTGACAATAAGTGCATTTTCTCATTCCTAGGAGAAAACTGAAGCTGGATTAGGCATCCATAGAGAGATTTTCATTGCCAGGACAGATATAAGATAGAGAGATAGTTATATTCCCTTTGAGAATATAACTGAGGATCTATGAATGTGACTGAGTTATAAGTACCTCTAACTATAATCATCAAGTATAAATATCTATATGTATATATGTACAATTGGCATGAATTTCATTTGTTCATATTAGCACTAATGAACTGATAATAACCTTCCATCATAAAAATTTTAAGAATAGTAAATTCTAATTTTCCCAATTTTTTAAGAATTCAGTTTAACCAAGCCAATAACAGTAGTACCATGTAAACTGGTTACATTAACCTTTAGAAGTTTTTTGGAATTCATAGAGCTGTATAAGTAACTGAGATTTTTTAAAGGGGCAAATAGTAGTAAGTTATTAGGCAAATAAACCCCTAATTGAATAAATCAAAGTTATCTGATATACACTTGTTAACTGTGGCACACAATTCTCTTTTGTGAAAATCTATAAATCAGAGTTTAAAAAATGGAAACCATGCTATGTTCTGAGAACCTTTCTACCTTATGACCAGTTTTTATATATTTCAGTTGTTTGGAGTATAAAGAGACATGGTCATGCTTCACCGGACTATGTGGCTTACCTTCCTTTGGCAGAGGAGTGAAACACCAGGGAACTCCAAAGACCTGAGTATCAAAACAACATCCAGAAGCAAAGCATTTTTCACTAGAAATTCCTGGGAAACCACAATTCTCTCTGTTCTTTGGTTCTATCCTTGAACACTGGCATGCAGCTGTACAAAACAGAAGTTAAATCTACTTAGCTCTTTGAACTATTTTTGCATACATTTAAAAAAATCAAACTCTAACTTCCATTTGTAAGCTGACTGATGTCTTGATAGATCTTAATCAATTTGAAGATAAAATCCATTGTTATAGGAGCTCATAATCCTGGCACAATATTCATAGGTTCAGGGTAGTGGGTTGTTGGGTTTTTATTTATTAATTTTTTGGTCTTGACTTGCCTATTATATTGCTCCAATGAGTGGACAGCCTCTGCCTCCAGTAAGATACTGAGATGTCCCACTATTTAGCTTTACTTTTACTTCCTTGCATACTACTTAAATTCTTTTAATGTTTAATTAATGTGAAGAAAAGGAATGATGGAGAAATGCAAGTCAACCAGAGGTTTATTTAGGGCCTTCTTTCTCACCTTCCACCTGGAATCATCATAGGACATGCGGCTGGAAGCTACATGAGAATGGGTCATGAAAACCATATCTTTCAGTAGCTAGGTAGCCATATCTTAGGATATTTTGCATCAAGGCAGTTTGGATTAACTTCTTAATGTTCATTTCCTCTTCCTTTATAAAGAAAAACAGGAGTAAGAGCCATACAAATTAATAGCACCATTAAAAGGGACCCACTAAAATGCATTTGCATACCTTTCAGTCAGTCAGCCAACAAGAACTTATTAAGCAGTTACTATGTACTTGGTCCTATGTTAACCTTTGGTAAACTCAACTTTCTACTTACATGGCTTTTCCCCTCCAGCTACGTTGCACAAGCCCAGGATAAAAAGAATCACCAGGAACCAAGGACTCTGAGGTTCCATTTTAGGTGCTTAGTCTTCACACACCAAAGGAGAAAGTGGGTCCTGTGACTGTAAATTTATTGCATATTTTTTTAAAATATATATATATAATCTCCCTTGTGTTTGCTCAGGAAGCTCAGATAACCTTGTTTCCTTCTCCTACTCCACTAAAGTTAAAATTTCTTTGTTTGAGAATAGAATTCAGATAGGCATGCCTAACAAGACATGGAAATGAGAAACTGAGATCAAAGTCTTTGGTGAAAGTGAAATTTCCTGTTTAGAGTGATGAGTCACCAGCTAATCATCTAAGCAGCACATAAATTAGTTAAGAAAAAAAGTGCAATGAAAACACAACAGAATTAAGCCAGTATCCAGAGGCAGAAAATTTACTGTGTACACACACATTCATAACATAGTGTATGTTGTTCAATACTAGCCAAGAAAAGTTAAACATTTATGATAAAGTTTGAAAAGGGGAGAAAGTTACTTATTGAAAAAGGCAAGCTGGGGAAAATAGAAAAGGGCAGCTATTTTTAATGTAATTTAATATCTTATTTTCCCAATTACATTTTAAAACAATTTTAACATTCTTTTTTTTTCAAATTTTGAGTTCCAAATTCTCTCCCTCCCTCCTTTCCTTCCCCCTCCCCACTGAGAAGGCAAGCATTTGACATGTTATACATGTGTCGTCATGCAAAACACATTTCCATATAAGTCATTCTGTGAAATAAAACACAAACCAAGAAAGAAAAAGAAAAGAAAAGAAAAGAAAAATAAAGAAATTAAAGAAAAAGTATCTTTGATTTGCATTCAGGCTCTGCCAGTTCTTTCTCTGGAGATGGAAAGAACCTTTCACATAAGTCCTAAAGAATTGTCTTGGATCACTTTATTGCTGAGAATAGCTAAGTTATTCATAGTAGATCATCATACAATGTTGCTGTTACTGTGTACATTGTTTTCCTGGTTCTGCTCATTTCACTGTGAGTCACTGCGTGTCTCTTTCCATGTTTTCTTGAGACCATCCTCCTCATCATTTCTTAAAGCACAATAGAATTCCATCACAATCATGTACAACAGCTTGTTCAGCCATTCCCCAATTGATGGACATCCCTGCATTTTCTAATTCTTTGCCACCACTAAAAGAGCTGCTATAAATATTTTTTTGTACACATAGGTCCTTTTCCTTTTAATGTTTTTCTGTCTTTTGGGGATACAGACATAGTAGCAATATTACTTGGTCAAAGGGTATGCATGGTTTTATATCCCTTTGGACATAGTTCTAAATTGCTCTCCAGAATGGTTGAATCAGTATACAATTTAACTAACAGTGCATTAGTGTCTCAACCTTCCTATATCCTCTGCAACATTTGTCATTTTCCTTTTCTGTCATATTAGCCAACCTGACAGGTTTAAAGTGCCTTAGAATTTAAAATTAAAGTACCTTAGAATTGTTTTCATTTGTATTTCTCTCATCAATAATGATTAGAGCATTTTTTTTCATATGAAAATAGATAATTTTGATTACTTTGTCTAGAAACTGCCTGCTCATATCTTTTGGCCATTTATCGATTGAGAAATGGCTTTTTTATTTCTAATAATTTGATTCCATTTTCTATATATTTTAGAAATGAAGTCTGTATGAGAGAAACTCACTATAAAATTTTTTTTTCATAGTAATGATTACCAAATGTGTATTTCCCTCCATCTTATTTTCCCTGTTCATCCTATTCTCTCTCTCTCTCAATCTCTCTCTCTCTCTCCACTTTTACCCTGTCCATTCTCAAAAGCGTTTTATTCCTGACATTTACTCCCCCAAACTGCCCTGCCTTTTATCAGCTCCCCGCCCCCTTCTCTTACCCCATTTCTTTCCTACTTTCCTATATGGTTAAAGATTTCTGCATCCAAGTGAGTGTGTATATTATTCCTTCTTTGAGTTAGTTCTGATGAGAGTAAGATTCATATACTCCCTTCCCTGCTTCCTCCATTTTCCCCTCCACTGTAAAATCTCTTTCAGACCTCTTTTATGTCAGATAATTAATTCCATTCTACCTCTCCCTTTCCCCTTCTCCCAGTGCATTCTTCTTTCTCATCACTTAATTTTTTTTTAGATAATCATATCATCACATTCAACACATACCTTTGTTTTCTGTCCATGTATATGCCTTCTAATTGCCCTAATAATGGGGAAGTTTTTAGGAGTTCTAAATATCATCTTCCCATGTAGGAATATAAACAGTTTAACCTTATTGGTTCCCTTGTGATTTCTCTTTCCTGTTTACCTTTTCTATGCTTCTTTTGCATCTCATATTTGAAAGTCAAATTTTCTACTGAGCTCTGGTCTTTTTATCAGGAATGCTTGAACGTCCTGTATTTCATTGTATGTCTATTTTTCCCCTAAAGGATTATACTCGATTTTCCTGGGTAAGTGATTCTTGGTTATAATGGTAGCTCTTTTGCCCCTCTGAATATCATATTACAAGCCCTCCATTCCTTTAATGTAGAAGCTGCTAAATCTTTTTTATCCTGACTGTGGCTCCACGATATATGAATTGTTTCTTTTTGGCTGCTTGCAATATATGTTTCTTGACTTGGGAGCCCTGGAATTTGCCTATAATATTCTTGGGAGATTTCATTTTGGGATCTCTTTCAGGAGATGATTGGTGGATTCTTTCAATGTCTATTTCACTCTCTGGTTCTAAAATATCAGGGCAATATTCCTTGATAATTTCTTGAAAGATGATGTCTAGGCTCTTTTTTTGATCATGACTTTCATATAGTCGAATAATTCTTAAATTATCTATTTTCCAGGTCAGTTGTTTTTCCAATGAGATACTTTACATTTTCTTCCATTTTTTCATTCTTTTGATTTTGTTTGATTGTTTCTTGATGCCTCATAATGTAATTAGCTTCTACTTCCCCAATTCTAACTTTTAAAGAATTATTTTGTTCAGTGAGCTTTTGTACCTCCTTTTCCATTTGGCCAAGTCTGCTTTTGAAGGAGTTCTTTTCTTCAGTAAATTTTTGTATATTTTTTTCCATTTGGCCAATTATGCTTTTGAAAGCATTTTCTCCTCATTGGATTTTTGTGCCTCTTTTACTAATTGGTTTATTCTGTTTTTTAAGGTGTTATTCAGTATTTTTTTGTTTCTTCTTTACCAAGTTGTTGACTCTTTTTCATTATTTTCTTGCATCACTATCATTTTTCCTCTACTTCTCTTACTTGATTTTTAAAATCCTTTTTTAAGCTCTTCCAGGGACTGAGACCAATTATATTTTTCTTGGAGGCTTTGGATGCAGGAATTTTGACTTTGTTGTTTTCCTCTGAGTGTGTGTTTTGATCTTCCTTGGAACAATAGTAACTTTCTATGGTCAGAAATCTTTTTCTTGTTTGCTCATTTTCCAGCCTATTTTCTGACTTTTAACACTATGGGGCTCTACTTCCAAAGTGGAAGTGACAATGTCTGAAGCTTCAGGTTTTTTTCTTTGTGCAGATGTTTTCAGAGGTAATTCTGGGGACCTCTATGTTTTCAGTTCTTCCAAGGTGGTATGATCTAGGGAGAGGTGCATTTACTACTCCCCTGTACTGTGCACTAATTTGTGAGTGATCACAAGCAGTCTTTTAAACCTGGAACTGTGACCAGGGTCCCCACTCCCCTGTGGTTGCAAACTCTTTTGTGCTAGTGCTCCTCCTCACACTGGAACTAAGACTGAAGACTGCAACTCAGATCCATAGGCAATGCAACAGAGTCCTGCCCCTGGTAACAACAAAGGGATCCCTGTGAATCTTGGAAAGGTCAACTGTTAATATAAAGAAGGACAACCGTACTCTGTGCTCACCATGACCCATCCCAATCCTTGGGAATCTTATTCAAAAAACAACAACAGGATTTACACATGCAAAGGTATATAATTTAAAAAGGAACCAATTGTGGAGTTAGAAAGAGCATGGTTCAAATCTTGCTTCTGAAATATGTTAGCTATATGGTCTTGGCTATATGACTTAAGCTATACGACTCATTTATCTTCTCCGTGTTTATACAAAAGATGTTGATCTACATCAACGGGAGTTTCTATATGAGGAGATCTCCCACATTGATGAAATCCAAGGTTTTGATATTTTGAAATGAAAAGTCTACTAATAATCACCGGGGAAAAAGCCTAATCTACTGGCTAAGAATCATTGGACCATAGGAGGCAGATCTGGTATTAGGAAGGGACTTCAGAAGCCATAAATTCTATCTCACTCATTTTACACACAAAGAAACTGAGGCCCATGGAGGTAGAATGACTTTCCCATGACTACACAGGCAGTCTGAAGATGGACCACATGTGAGGAATTCCTGCTTTTAGTCCTCACTCTACACATGATATTGTATAGTCTCTAGAACAGTCACTAAATCTCAGTTTCTCCTTCTGTAAAATAAGCATGTTGACATCAAATTCAAAGTATAAAGAATGTTGCAAAGTAAGATGAATTTTTGTATGGGGAATCTTTTTTATTATTGTTGTTACTGAAGCAGCTTTGGTTTTAAGAAAGCACAAATTCTACATTAGCAACTTTTTCCTTTGAAGTAAAAAACACACAATAATTCCTTAATCAGACCTTATCAAGGAAAGAAATCATCCTCATAATTGAAATTTCATGTAGCTGAAACTTACCTCCTTTAATTAACTATTTTTTTAAAAGAAACTATTTAATATTTTCATTTCTAGAAGGCAACAAGCTGAAATGTGTGTTGAATAAAAGAAAAAAATGATGAATAAGGTAAAAATAGCATCAGGTGCAGAGTGAGGAGATGTGAATTTGAGCCCTTTCCTATCGCTAACTGTCAATATGAACTTAGGCAAGCCATTTACTTTTGCTTAGCTTCATCTATAAAAAGGAAACAATTGTACTGGCACAAACATATCACAGCATTGTTCTAGTGAAGGAGTTTTGTAAAACACGTAACATTATTACATTAATGTTACCTATTACTATTAATGGGAATATTTCAAAGACCAGATATCAAAGGTTGGAA